CAACCTTCCCCATCTGTCACCATCTGCTTCTTTTTAGCATGTACTTTTTGTGTGATCACATAAGCATGTGAAAAATAACTAACATTCAGATGATTATCTGCTGGTACATTTGAGGACTGGGCATAATAAAAGTGAACTGCCAAAACGTACTTAACACTTTTAATTTTGTTGGGTCTTGCATGTAAGCTACATTTGATTTTCAAACTGTTTTACAGTTGGAAAGTTGATCAGGTACTGCTAACTCAAGAGCAAAGCTGAGATTCTAAATAATTAGCACTGCATAAAATGGTTTGGATTCATAGGAACCAAACCAAATAGTAAAATTTAACAATAAGAGTTTATATGCGATTTCTAATTTCTTTTATAATTTCTAGGTGTGAAAACAGAGTATAGATTACAAAAATAAATCCCCTCAAGGTAATTTATGTTCCATAATTTATTACAGGACCAGTTTTACTCTCTTATAATGTACAAAAGAATAAAAGCACTCTCATTTAAAACTACCCTTTAAACAAAGTTTTACGGTAAATGCACAGTTCATATGCCTACTAGGATAGGATCTCTTAAAAAGACAGCAGGAAAGCCCCTAGTCCTTTCTTCTTTAACAATGAAGATCTGTAACACTATTGAGGCTGGAAAGCTGCACTGTCAGCCCCACTCTTCATCAGGAGAGGTCAGAGAGATACTTTAAAAACTCTTTTCAACAAATGACATATTAATACTATGAGATATTTTTTCATGGTCTTTAACATGAGAGGCAAGTTGAGTTCATTTAAAACTTAAATTTATTTACAAACCTACTGTGAGAAATAGCTGCTGGCTTTGAACTGATTTCTACCATTCTTTCCATAGTGCCTTTGAAATATAGTACCTTTGAAATACCCTGTCTATCTGTAAACCGAAAGTTATTCCTACTAAATTAAGAACAAAAGGTACAAGAAGAACCACTACTAGGTTGCAGCAAGATCTCTACATATTGTATAGACAATTCTACAAGAGCAGAAAGGAAAAAACTGACAGTCATTCGCCAGAGAAATAGTTATCAAAAAAGTATTCCAGATGAGATATGTACCTACTACTTACCTTGCTATCAAGAAAGGACTATCATTAAAAAATAGTATGTACTAGAAATTGCAGGGTCTGAATTGACAGACATAGTACTTGAAAGTAAAGGCTAGTTTCAGCTCCCACCAATTCCTAACACTGACCTTGTTACTATCACATTATCTCCATGGAATTCAGGACCCTCAGGATCCAATCCTAGCCCTTTGGACTCCAATCCCCCTACCTATGTATCCACCTCTTTTCCTGCTTGCAACTTAGGCTAGGACTGCCAGGCCTTCCTAGCAAGCAGAAATATTTTTCCATTTCTTCCCACTACACTGTCTGTGACTCTACTAAAGCAGTTACTTTCTTGCACAGGGACTACTTGCCATATCTTACCACCTTACTAAAACAGCAAGCTACTCGATGACAAAAAACCTTTCTTATTGTCTTTGTATTCCTAACATGACACAAAGCCTCACATCTAATAAATATTCAATAAATGTTTCTTTAATGAATGAATGAGTGTATAAATGGTCCACAACGGAGAATAAATTCTTAGTTTTTCAAGTAAGGGTAAATACCTTCTGAGTCACCCCAAGCTAACAAAAATGCAGTATATGATGCACTTGTTTATTATAATTTACACAAGAAGTTAGTTGTTTCCAAGTTTCTCCTCCACAGACAGTATGTCCAGTGATCACTCTCTTCCGTGGTGTCAAGATGTCAACTATGAACTAATGTGTTTTCTTAAAGACAAAACCTTTGTCTCATTTTTAAAAAGTTATACAGATTTGTTTTATTTTTAAAACAAAACTGTTAATGTCTTGTGAACTGTAAACTTTCTATTTAGAAACAATTGGACTCTTGCATTAAATTCTTGGTTTTGTTCTTCAGTTGATGGTATTTGCATGGAAAACACTATCTTTGTTTCTTAGGAGATCATCTGCTTCTGAAATGAGACTTATTTATCTTCTTCAGAAATAATTCCCCTTAATTATGAAGCAACTAATTTTGGTATTCTAAATATGGTATATCATCATTCATAGAAAATGTATAGCAAAGGTAACTGAACTCCAGAGAAACAAAGAATTTGTTTTTTATGACATTCACAAAAACAATCCTACTCTAGAAAATATGATCTTGTGTTTGAATAAACAAAGAAGTATTTCTAAAATTTTACGTAATTCAACCACATAATTTTAAAGTCTAGACTTCGTAGCAGAGAAAATAGTATTTACAGCAAGAAAATAATTAGAAATTTACTGCATTTTAAATACTAGCACTTATTTACAATAACTCAACATTTTTAAAATATAAATTTAAATACTAAGTTTCAATGAAAAAAACTGCTATCATAAACCAGCATGAGTAACTAGATACATGGGACATGCCAATATCACTGTGAATTTATTCTATTTCCTAACTTCTGTTGATGACCTTTTCCTGTTGGGTATTTAACAAAGCATATATTTTTAAAGTTACATTTATTTACATTTGTAAGTGGCTTTGAAACTGACTTTTTTGGGCCATCACGCACATAGCTAACAAAGTAAAAGTAGGAAAGGCATAGACATGCATGCCTGTATAATCTCAGCACTTGAGAAAATGAGGCAGGAGAATTATGAGTTTGAGGTCACTTAGAGCTTTGGTCAAGGCCAAACCAGATTGCAAGCAAAACTCTTGCTCAAACAAAAAACAACCTCACCACCAAAACCCAAAACAAAAAGTACAAGTAGGCTTCATGTTCAGACAAACCAACTTACAGACCCAATTATAACTCTACCAACTCCTACCTAAAAAATGACCTTCTGTTCGCTTCTTACCTTTCAAAAGCTAAGTATCACAGAAGATTATTCCAAGTATCAAATGAAACAGTAGTTGTAATGTATGTATACAGTATGCAGCACATAGAGGCTGCTCCATAAACAGAAATCCTAGCCCATTAAGGATAAACACCTCCCTGTTTGGCTCTATGCACAATGACCTTGGAATCTAAAGGAAAATTGAGCTCATCTTGCCTCAGGGCTTTCACATTAGCTAATCTTGCAAACCTCTTCCTTATATCTCAAATATCCCATTCCCCGACCCTCTCTATCTGTGGAAGATTTTATTTTACAAAGATGGCTCCAACAATACTTCCAATCTTACAGGCTCTTCTACAATGGGAGGTAAGTTCTATGTCTCTGTTCTTTACATCTGAGCAGGTTTTCGAATGTTCAAGGAATAAACATAACAGAAATGATGTGGTACAACTTCTGAAAGAAGTGCATAAAAGGAAATGCATACATGAATGTTCATAGTGTTATGCATATTAGTAAAAAAATAAAAATAAGAAAATCCACCTACTGTTGAATGAATAAATACAATGTACTATTTAACCACACAAAGGAATATTATTTATATGGCTATAAGGAATGGAGTAGCAATAGTATGCTGCAACACAGACGAATCCTGAAAATAATTTTCTAAGAAAAACAAGCCAGAAGACTCCACAATACACAATTTCACTTAAAAGAAATGTCCAGAATAGGTAAACTGATAGAGACAGAAGGCAGATTAATGGTTCCTTGGGGAAGGGAATGTGGAGCTAATGAGTACATGGGTTTCTTTTTGGGTGATGAAAATATTCTGTAATTAGACAGTGGAGATGGTTGTACAACTTTATGACTACGGTAAAAATAAAACCTACTGAATTAAACTTTAGAAGAATGAATTCTATGGCATATGATTTATACTCTAATTATAAAAAATTTACTGTAAAATACATTTCTGAAATATTAAACTTCTAACAGGTTACTTGGTGAAAAAGAATGAGTAAGGCTGATTCTAACTTGTACCTATCACCTTCACTGTTAAGAGGTCAGAGCCAAAGAACTTTGACCACACTGCAGCCGTCATTATGAGAAAGCTGAGGCCACAGGGGGAGGCTACATGTGAGTACTGCTGTCAACAGGCCTAAGGTGCTGGAGGACAGTCAACAGCAACTATGAGATTGCAAGTGAAGACTCTTCTAGACGATTCCAGACAATTCCAGTTGATTCCAGCCTCAAGTCATGAAGTCACCTCCTCAATCTAAAGTCTTTCTGCCTGAAGCCACATACACAAGTGGAACAGAAATAAAGCTTTTCCACCTGCGTTCCTATTGCAGAAAATCCACAGTAACATCAAATGGTATTTTATCACTCATCATGGGGAAGTTTGTTAGACAGTAATAATAACCATAACCAGAGCACATCAAATAGCCACTGCACCACACCCTTTCTATTATCTGTTGTTGTTCCCTGTATGGGAAAAAACTTAAGATATGATGTTATTTCTTTCCATTCTGTCTCCTCCACTGAAAGTAAATTCTCTGAGAATACAGCCTTTTTCTGCTTGTTCCTGTAACCACATCACCCAGAAAAATGTCCAATATATAACAGAAACACAGTAAGTATTTGTTTAATAAACTAAGAAACTATTGTTGAACCCTTAGCACAAAGAGTCACTGGTCTGGAACTCCCATTCATGTGAACTCTAAAATGTAGGTGTAGTAATCTCCCAACAAAATAATTTTCAACATGTAAGTATAAAACCCCATAGTACTACAAATTCAATAACCACCCTAATCTTTGTTTCTAAGCCCAAGACAATTTATAAAGCTCAAAACATTTTTGCTGACATCATTCAATTATTAAATTTTAATAAATGAGCCAAATGGGCATAACAAAAATTAAAAGCATAGTCAACATATAAAACTGATGTAATCTACTTGTGCTTATAAAGTTCATAAAGTTTAATGTATATGTAATCTTGGTCCTAAAATAGCCCATTAAAGCAGGCTAAATTTGATTCACGTTAAAATTTAGGTAAAATCAGTAGTAAGCATTGCAATTTTTAAAAATGCTTAAATGGCTACCTTTGCTAAACATAGCATCGATGTTCTTGTTCATATGAATGGAACAAAAGCTTACCTCTGGTGCCAGATACTCTGGTGTGCCACAGAATGTCTTCATGGTGGCTGCATCTGTGATCCCTTCTTTGCAAAGTCCAAAATCTGTAATTTTTATGTGGCCATCTTTATCTAGCATCAAATTCTCCAACTGCATTTAAGAAAAATGACAAAATTTGTTCAGTAGTCTTCAAAAATAGGAAAATGATGTTTTGAAAACTTTTGAATACTGAGTAGGGTATTTTGAAAAAAGAATACAGTTGCAGTTAATAGAACTTTAGCATTTACAAATCTTGTAGCTTCATGTGTAAAAGGTAATTTGTTTCATCAAACTCTTCAATGTTGACAAAATTAGCCATTTGTAAACCACTGGAAAGGATGAAATAGCTTTAAGAGCCATAAGCATATAAGTTCTGAGAACCAAAACCTAACCAGCTTTTCAAAGCAAACACTGACCCTTTTTTCCAAATAAAATTGATTTTTAAAAATCCTAAGGAGATGAGCAAATATAAAGGTGGTTTTAACAATTTCTCTTGGGAATCTATTGCTGTTACAAAAAATTCACAGAGTTTCATGGTGGCTATAAATCAAATCTAAATCTTATTTTGTATGGTAAGGTGATAACCTCTTTTATGAATCTTTGTAATAAAGAAATACAAACCCTTTTAAACATAAAAATATCAACGTCAAATGTTCAAAAGTTAATAAAATATACAGCACAAATGTTAGAAATTTAGGAATCTCTCTGAACCCACTAACTCAAAAACACGAAAGAGAATCTTAAAGATCTAACCAAGTGGCAAGACCATCTGCCTCAACTGAAAATTGTTAAATACAGAGGGGGAAAACTTTGTGCAAAGCCAACACAATTAAAAATCACAGTATCACTGACCAATCTGAACTCAAGCCATGACTATCCTCACAGAAAGATACATAGAAGCTGAGTTGAGATCATATAACCTTACACAGAAAAACTACAAAAATGTGAAAAGTATAGGATAAATAATAATTAACTTGTATTTGAAGTGTGGATACTTTATTTATTAATGTTTTCCCCTTTTTTATTCTACTTAATGTGATGACATTTCAAAGTGCTTACCTGAACTCTACAATCAATACCAAATTTGAAACAGCATTCCACATTAGAACATGAACATACTAATATATGAAATATGATGACATCATACTCTTCGCCATACTGTCACATATAATATTATAAAGGGACATTCAACACAGGTAAGTAAACTGTGTTCACTGAGCAAAGATCAGAACAGACAAGTCCTGCTTTATAGTAGCACTACAATGAATTGCCTGACGGAAATAATCAATCAATACGTGTTTCTGGCACACTACACTTCAAAAAAGTGAGTCTTTCTTCAACTCATCCACAGAGTTGAATATACCCTAAATACACTGTTAAATCTTTTTTAAAATACAAATAGGAGTTTTTATCTTGTGATTCAAATTCAGATATCTGAATGTGAACTGTCCCTACCAGCTAGAACCTAGAAACCAAGGATCATTTATACCAGTAAGTCTCAAACACCAAATCCAATCAGAAACACCAAGAAAGTTGCTTTTCTTTCCTCCTACTATCTTTTTTTTAATCTCTCTTGCTCTCCTTTATTTCTCATGCCTGTCATTTCTCTTTTTTTCCTCTTTCAAATACAACCCCTTCAACTGCCCTCCCCGAACTTGCCACAGTAAGAGAGAACTACATAGTGAAGTGTCTCTTCGTTTGTTGAATAAAAAGTACATGCCCCATTCTTAATTTTTAAAGTATGCTTATTGTTTTACTATATAAAATACTGCAAGTATTTTAAAATACTGTAATAAAAAATTAAAAATATAGGGGGCTGGGGATTTAGCTCAGCGGCAAAAGCACCTGCCTGGCAAG